CGGGGCCCCCCTGCCCGTAGCCGTTCCAGTCATCCCGCAGCGGAGCGCCGTAGGGAGAGGGCCACGAGGGGCCCGGGGACTGGGCGCTGTCCAGGTTCACCCCGGCCGCGGCCACATGGTACCCTCCGTAGTCCGGGTACTGCGGGGCGCTGACAAAGTTCTGCGCCGCCAAGTTGAGCCCCCCCGGGTGGCGCACGGAGCTGGAGTACATGGGCACCTCCTTGTCCAATAGGTAGCTCACGTACATGATGGGGAGAGCCGGGCAGCAGCTCTCCACATGCTGCTCCGGGCTCTGGAGCGGCTCTTCTCCTCCTTGGGGATGGGCTCCCCTTCGGGTGGGGGGGCCGGCGGGGGGCCTGTCCCCCTGGTTGCCTCTGCGGAGCCGTCTCTCTGCCACTAGCGATCCGAACCCATTGGCCGGCAGCCCTTACATGATTAACGATTGTTTACAAGGCTCTATTAGTAATGGCACAGACACACCAAAGGCAGGTGACGTGGAGACGCGCAGGGTATATAGCTACTACCCCTAAAAGAAGATTTGCATTTAAAAAGATAAGGAGAGGGCAGCGACCTGATCACAGCTAAATATTCAAGCCTTTATTGTTTAAGAGCTTCCTCCTTCCATTGCAACCTGGTGCACTTTAACCTCCAATCACAGGTTCAAAGAGCTAAATGAAGAGACTTGCAAAAGAGAGAGAGAGTTCTCAGAGCCAGGGTGGGAATATGGGAACCGTGTATCATGGACTACCTGTAGGCAGCACGTTTTAAAGAACATGCCTTGTTTAAGTTATGGAGGTTTTTTTGTTTTGTTTTATAAGTTATAAAAGCCAGGCGTATACGGAGATACACAGATATCTAGGAATCGCTATTTCGTTTTTTAGAGGTGTTCAGAATATATTTTCAGTAGAATGCTGGATGGGCGAACAGAGGAAAAGTGAAATCGACAAGACAAGGGTTATTTTAATGTGGGGGGGGGGTACAGAATTTTCATTCCAAAGGGAATGCACTTGGATCTCAATTATTTCATTTATTTCTTGGCAACCAAGTAAAGTTTTGTTTCCCCTAAATGTTGATAAGTGGCGTCTTTTTCGTTTTGCTATATTGTATTTTTAATTCTGTTTCATACACGACTGTGTTATTTATACTTACTTGGCTGAAAGTGTTTTCAGAATCAGAGAAACGGTGAGTTTTCGAATACGCGTGCCGAATATCCTCAAGAAAGAGATGCCGCACAGAAGGAAGAGAATTTTCTTAGCATATATTAATCTAATTGCTAGATATTATTGTTAAGCAATTAATTAATGCCGAATAGCAAAGGGGAAAAACCCTCTTCTGGTCTAACATTTTATCTCTTTGCCCCATGTGATCGTTTCGATTGCACAGAGGGAATTATTGTAATCCCGGGAAAGTTTGAGATGAAATACACTTTAAACGCAAATGTAAAGCTAAATCTTTGCTAGTCGTATTTCAGGTATGAGTCCAGAAAACCGGTGGGTGAATTTAATTTCTTTCATTCGTTTTGATTAGTTCCTTTTGATCCATTGAAACTAAATTCGAGCAAAACACAAAACAGTGCCTCGCAGTGACACTTATCGATGTCAGGCTAAACATGGGAATGGCTTTGGTGCTTTCCAGCAAATTACTTTTTCACCCAGTGAAATGACATTTTAAAGCGCCTTGCAAACATGATTAAACTCCTAGCGCCTCCTAAGCAACTATGAAAATGTTACTTTGCTATGAGAATTCTTTATTCTCCTCACAACACATCTCATATACAATTCGTTCTTTGAAGAGGCGCCATCCATTCATTGCTTTTATGCTTTAACTTGTCACCTTGAGCAGGAACAATGCAGAAAATGCTGAATATTTGCATCTCTTTATATACACAGCAACGAAGTCTTTTGCTCACACAGATAACTGCATACGATGGAAACTTTTCCCTTTCCACCCTGTTTCACAGAAGTTTGACAACTCAGCACTGAGCCCTCTCCAAATCCACTTCACAGGCCACCTTCAGTCATTCTGGGCGGCCCCAGGGGAGAATCCAGCGACCGCAGTAGAAACCCCTTGTGAGCAGAACTCGGTATCACAATGCTGAGAATTATGCGAACCATCGCTTGAAAAGTCACGTCAGGCAGACTGCGTAGGGAGTTACATTCCCATTTAATATCGCTAGTTATTGCGGGCCGGATCCTGCGGCCTTCAATAAGGCAAAAATTCAGCTGTGAAAACAGAAGCGTGGAAGTCATTATTAGCTGTAGGGATGATTTTTTCTACGGGTAACTCTTCAGGACTAGCAAGATCACAAAGGCTTATCACTAAAGTCCTGCCTGTGCGTGCTGAAGTGTAACCTCCCTGAGGAAGAGATATGGATCATTTTAGCTCCCAAATATTCCCCATGGAACTTCCTCCAGTACTAACCCGGCTGCTCCTCTCAGACTTTTCAGGCAAGAGAGTTGTTCACCAACTGGATTCGTTTTGAATCATTTTCCTAACGGAGGGACTATCAACAGCACAGTTCAGATATGGTGCACCTCTGGTTCGAGCTCTTTCTATGGGCTGGGACAAATCCCCTGCTTTAGCAAACTTCGTTGGTGGACATATTTGCACTCTGTGCACACTCAGTGCCAATGGGCATTTTCCGCAGCCAGCACGTGAAAACCGTCCATAGCTAGAACACACACGGTTGAAATACGGGTGGTATTTTATCTGCTGCATTATAACCAGGGCTAGTAGGTCTGAAACCCGGGGAGGAACAGCAAGCGCTCCACTGGGACCAAATTAAAATAACTTCCTCGGGGAATCGGCCAACACCCTGAACAGAAAAAGTTTCTCCCAGCTTCGGGAAAATTTGGCTCGATCAGGAGAAAGTTCCTCAAGACTGTTCCATGGCCCGTCGTTTCAAAAGACACCTCGAAATAGGGGTTCCAACAAGGGTCGGCTGGATCCTAAGGCAGCTAACTCGCAGCTAAATCTTTCAGCCCCCCCCCTCTTTGTTGCCTACGTTTTTCGTGTTAAGCTAATTTCTCACAAAGGGGAAACCGTCTCGCACCGTTGTAATACGAACGTGCTGAGCACAAGAAACCCACTGGCTCGGGGGCTGATTTATTTCCCGGGTGTCAGTTTGATGACCTGGTGCCCACATGAAAGCGAGCCAAGGGGGCCGGGGGTTCTTTCAAGCCTCATGCCAAGGGCTGGAACACACCTCTGAACGAGGCTGCCTCCTTCGGCCGAATCTCCCCTCCCGATAAGCACGCACAAAGCCCAGCTCGGAATATGCGAATTTGATGAAGCCATAAAGCGAAAACAGGGCCATTAAACTGACAAAGCTCTGAACTTATGAGATCCGAAACGCACCCCCCTCCCCCGGCCCTCGGAACGCACACGGGCTACACGGGAAGCGGCTTTTATCCCCCGAAGTCCGACAACACGCGCTGCCCTGCAGCGCAGAGACTTGCGATCCAGTTTGTGCCCTGCCTGTGGGGTTTGGGGGGGCGATCTGTCTTAGCCCGTGGAGGGGAGTGCAGAGAGGCGGCTTGGATGGGAACTAGCTCCTGCTTTGCTATAAAGAGGGACAGGTAACACAAAGCCACCGAAGGGAGGCGGATAAATGTCTAAGGGGAAACATATACACCATGACGCGCAAAAAGGGAGCCCGGGGTCTGACTTTAATGAGCACAATTCAAGATTTGGTCTAGCTATGAGGGATCAGTGTAGTGGATCTAGCCAGCACCTGGTTTTAGGGAGCGAACAGCTGCTAGCCAGTCAGGGGCAAATGGAAACCTTTCCAATTTCTTGTTCTTGTGGGGAAATTCAGAGCCCCAAGGTTCTTCAAAGGCCTTTTTGTGTGGTTTGATTTTATCTCCTGTTTGGAGCTCAGGAGAAAATCCAGGGCGTGGCCTCTGAGCGATTCCTTTAATCCCCACATCACCGGCGACACTAGCATGCAACAGCTCCAGAGGGCTAGCTAGCCCGGCCCTCGCAGCAGTTAGAGACGCAGCTAGAGGCGTCTCTTGTGGGAACGGGTCCAAAATGCGGCGTTGCGCAACGTAGTGGGCGGAGGAACAGGGAGTGGAGGTACCAGGACTCGGAGGAGCCATCAGTGCAGCCCCGAGTCACGCTGTCTCTCTGGGGCGGTGGGGTGGGGGGTTATTAATGGTCGCCTTGCATCTGCATGGCTGCAAACGTGGCATTCAACCCGCGCCAACGCCTGCACCAGGGCTGACCAAGGTAGGAAGGAGTCAGGTTAGCTCCTCAAACGGGAGGGAGTCAGTGTCCCATCTTGTACCAGCGCATGAGGCCTTCTGGGCTCAGGGAGTAGGTGGCCTCAGTCAGGCGCACACGTGTTACTGATCCTTAAAATGGACGCGCCCCTAGCCCCCAAACCGGGGCGCCTAATGGAGAGGCGCCAGAGAACCGGGCCATACTAACTCCAGGCCAACACTGAAGCCTGAGCTACAGCGAGCGAAAAGGCGTCTGTAGGGACTTGCGGGCGCACGGCCTGGGCCAAACGGAGCCCGGTGTAACGCGGTGCAGGCAGAACGCAGCCCTACGCGGTGGCCTCCTTCGCCGCCCAGGACTCTGCAACATTGCGGGATCGGGCCCTCACCTGCTCCTCCCCCCCCCAACTTCTGCTTTCGCCCGGGTCTCCTGCCTCACCCCGACCCGGGCACTTTTCCCGGGGAGACGCTTTAACCAACCACTCCCGCGTCTCCCAGCCTAGCGAGTGAGTTCGCCGCTCCTCTCAGCTAGGCACACTGCGGCGATGGCTGCCTGTCTGGTCCCGGCTACCGTTCTTTGACAGCCTTCTGAAATACCGAGGGGCGAAATAGAGGGTCCCTGGCTGCCAGAGGCCGCTCGGACCTGGCCTTTCCTATTAGCTTGCGCCGAGCAATCTCAGGGCAGAAAGGAAGCCCAATCAGCAGCGGGATCTTCCTTGAGTTACGTGGCCACCCCAGGCGCCCTAGCCCGGAATGAGAGCGCTTCGCTTGGCGCTGAAACCAAACTCCAGGCGTGACTCCGCTATTGCTACTGAGGGGCCATTCCCACGGGCGTGGTGCTGTGACATGGCTACACAAGCCGAGGGGGGCGCTGGCCGTGTTACAGCTCTTCTTGCTAGCTAGCTTTGCGGGGAGGGTGGCTTTTCGTATTAGCTTGCGCCAAGCAATCTCAGGGCAGAAAGGAAGCCCAATCAGCAGCAGGATCTTCCTTGAGTTACGTGGCCACCCCAGGCGCCCTAGCCCGGAATGAGAGCGCTTCGCTTGGCGCTGAAACCAAACTCCACGCGCTTGTGTCAAAAAGCGTGTAACACGCTTGCAGCTGGTGCAGTGGTGTGTGCGCCTTCCGCTGGGAAGAAATAAAGTCGAGAAGGGCTCCCTCGCCCTTTCCCTGGGCTTCCCAAAGCAACAACAAGCAGACACTTTGGATGGGTCTAACACAGGGGTTCCCAACCTTTTTCAGTCCTCTTCTCCCTTGGCTTTTAGTAAACCTTCCCGTACCCCCTATTCAATACAAAAGGAAATAAATTCTAGACTCTAGAATCTACAACTTATTTCACTCACACCTCTACTTTTGGAATATTTCAATTAGGATAATTAGTCATTTACTAAATATTCCTGGTACCCCCTTGACAAGCTTCTAGTGCCCCTCTGGGGGTACCTGTACCCCAGGTTGGGAATCCCTGGTCTAATACAAAGTGTCCCCTGTGAAATCCTGGCCTTGTTCATTGTACACCTAAGTCTTTTTTTGTACAGCAGGGCAGGCGAGTATCTGTAAAGACAACCAGAAGTAGATAAAGTTAGTTGTTCCGGGCCGCCCGGGTTTGCCAGGCGATGCTAGATGCTGTCGCAGGAGAAAATCGGGGTTTGCCTTGCAAGTTGCACAGCGCTGACTGCGGGTGGAACGACCCCTCCTTTGCTTCTCTTGGCTGGCTCCGCGGCCAGACGTCTTGCTGGCT